TGAGGCCCAAGAGTGGACCCGACCAATTCCCATGCCGTGGGAGCCTCCCCTCACCTGGGAAACATGATTGCTGTAGTTTTAGGGCCAGAGTTCAGTCTCCTGGTCGCTGCCCGGAGAGTGCTGTCCTGCTTCTCAGACACAGTGCTCTCCCGGCGCTGCCATCTTGGCTCTCCTCCACTAGTGACATTTTAAACTTCCAGGAACTTAACACGTCTGTGCATGCATGCACATCTGCATACACACGTGCACATGTGCATACACACGAGATCTTTTTGTACTAGCAGGTTGTCCATAGATTCTCACGCCAATAAAGTCCAACTTAGTACAGTATAATCCCTAATATAGTATCGATGTTTAGAATTTGCTTGGCTTCCTGAAAATTGAACCCAGAATTTTGCCCATACTGACAAGGACTTGATCACTGAGCTTCATCCACAGCCCTTTGATTTTTTCTATACCCTCCAAAACATCCTCAAATACAATCCTTTGATTATTGTCTAAAGTCTGAGGATAAATTCATAGACACGGATCTCTTTGATTAAACAGTATGCATGCTTTAAAGCCTTTGGTAGGTACCGCTTGCCTGTCTTTTGGACGAGATGTTCCAATTACACTTGTTAAAACAATAGCTGGGAAGGTCCTTGTCATCCAGCAGTAGGCGCTGCCTTTTTCAGAACAGCAACGTAGGCATGGGACTAGAGCCTAGAGGACACATTCACAGTGGCCAGCAACAACTAACTAAAGGAGGAAGCACCTCTCATTGAGTAAAAGTAAAGAATGGGCAACCTGAATGGAGGCTAATGTTTCTTACAATTGTCCATCTTTGTGGTTTTTAAAATCTGCAATGTATATTGCTGTGGGAATCAGTAAGATAGTTGGTAAAGTCACTCTATTTCATGTCACAGCTGATATATTTCAATATTTCAAGAAGATGGTATCAGTGAGTGGGGGGCATTATCCATCATAATATAATGGACACCCCTGAACACTCTCCTTTTAGTACAAGCATTTGGGAAAGCATGAGGACTCCAGCCCAGTGAACTAGCTCAGGCTTGTAGATTTGAAAATGTTAGAATTTTGTAAAGGGCAGCCTGGTTTACAAACCAGTTAAGAATTCTATTTTCTCTATGGACAAAATATTATCCCAGCCATCAGGTTAACCCTTGAGGTGAGGTAAGAAAAATAATATTATTATTAGGGGGAATTCTGAAAAAGTGATTTAGGCATGGAAGCAGGGGCTAAGACTCATAGCCAAACTTTGGGCAGAGTGTAGGAAATCTTATAAAAGAAGGGGAAGATAGAAAGACCTTGAGCTCCACAAGGAGATCAACGGAGCCAAAAAGTAAAACTATAAATAAATAAATAGACAGATAAAAAACCTGAGCCCTAACCAAGGACAATGCCTAAAACCCCTGCTCAAATGTAGCTCATAGACTCAGTCTCCAAGTGGGGTCCCTCATCTCAGAACAAAGCAGAAAAAAATCAGCAAAAGAATGCATTTACTGAGTCACTATTGCAAAGCTTAATTTTCAATCCTGCATTCCTGTGGTAAATGCTTCACCCCTCCCCCATACTTCTCACGGAAGGACTCACTCTTGCGCCATCCCAAGACAGTCCTTCTCTTACTGCACCCTTCACTATCTTCTCACACATCTGAGTGATGCCTGTTCATGAAGAAACTGCCAGCTTTTGGGACACAGAACTTTTTCCCTCAAGTTGATCATTAGGTTATGCATAAGTTTCTTTTCTTTTGGGTGAATCAGTTCTTTCCATCTTTGCTCATGTGTCTTTCATTTAGGTCTCTTTGCTTTTCTTGCTGAGCACCACATATTCTCAGAGAGTTTGATTTAGGCAAATTCTGAGGATGTTGACAGGAAGGCAAGAAAGGAGCGACTCAAAATCATCCTTTTACTTGCATCAACTCTACCCTTACCCGTCTTCTAGCTTTTTAAAGAATAACAATTCAGATTGTGTCTGTCAGCAAAAGTGCCCAGTTCGGGTGACAGACTCAGGGATGCTGTTCTCTTCACATAGCATAGTGCTTATTTGCCAGAACTTCAAAAGGACATCATGGACCACCACTCCTTATGACAAGAGATGTGCATGGCCTGCCTCCCTGTGTCCTCTCCTGGTACTTGTCAGTGTGGCCTGGGGCTTTGATGGGTTTTCAGTTCTATTCTGGACTAGGTGGGATCATCTCATCTCTAGCATGTGCCAGTCTAGGAAAGAGATGGCAGATATGTAGGTAGGTGTTTGCTGTCCTAGCTCATGCCCACACATATTACCATCCAGTGTTAGGGCCACATCCTCAAAAAGAGAAACACGGGAAATTCTATTGAGGACAAGGTATATTCTGAAACAGGAATGTGAACCTCTTGCCCTGGACACCGGTTCATTTCTGAGTGTGTGACAAGTTATCCACACCAAGAGCCATGCAGGATGCAGGTACTGCCCCCGGTACTGCTCAGACAGGTACATGACAGGAATCTGAAAGGATCACCTCTCGGCTGCCTTTATTTTCCTGGTGCACACCACAGCATTCTTCACACAAATGTTTGCAAGAAATATTTCATTAATTTGTTTCTATGTGGATTCTCAGACATTTGTATCTCAGGCTGGCCTCAAACTTCAGATTCTTCTGCCTCTGCCTCCTTCAGCAAACGCTACCTACACGCACCACCAGAACCCAGCTCTCAGAGATGCTGGGTAGTGACCACTCAAACAAACAAACAAACAAACAAACAAACAAAATTGTTTTGATATTTTAAAGAAAAAAATTATCACAGATTCTATTTTGCCTCTGAAATATCAGGGCCAATTCCCAGTGAACTGCCTGTATCTAAAGGTCCACTTTATCCTCAGAATGTACACGTGTGTATCTAAGTGTATACACATGTGTACATTTCCACCCACATGCTGGTCATAGGAAGCTCACATTCCTAGAGGCATGGCCAAGTCCAATATTCTCAGTCCTTTTTAGCTCATTGGCAAGAAAAAAACATTGAACATTAATTTCCCACATAATAGATGAAGGCAAAAAAAATTTTATGTCCAAAAAGCTGTGTACCATATAGTAATCATCATGATTTTATCACTATTTAGTCAGAATTAGACACTTGTGATTTAGTGCTTTAAACCAGTGAAAGAGCAGCCCAGGCTCTGAGTTTGGTCAGATTTTTACAAGTGCAGCAGTCATGGCAAATGTTCTGTCTCCCTTCTGTACACACAAAAGCTTCTGAGTCCTCTTGCAAGCGGTGACTGAGGGTAGGCGGAGCCTAAGGCCTGTTGCTAGGCTGCCTAAGCAGTGTTTTTCCAAGAGGCAGCCTGCAGGAGCTCTGGTTGCTTAGCAACCAGGTCCTCAGCCATACCATTTTCCTTAACGAAGGTTTCTCAAAGCTCTCTGCATGATTACCTCTGCTGAGCACCCAGACTCATTCCCTCTTGAAATCCTGACTTATGCCTCCACATTAAGTGCAATTTTGCATCAAAATAATTTTTTTATATGACTTTGTTCAAAAATTTAACATTTCTCTTCTCTTGTAACTGCTGGCTGGTTTGGTGCTTTACTTTTCCAGCTGTGATTTTATCTGTCAGATTTACCTAATAAGCAAAAATTTTAGGGACATATTAGGCCTTCGCCTGGGAGCACTGCACGTAAGAGCTGCATTCATAGCTTTATGTGCCATTATATCTCAATGTCTGTCACGGAGACCATGCCTGTCAAGAGGCTGTCCCCTCAGGAAGGACCTGAAACTTTGATACACCTCACAGTAGGCCAACGGGGCAGACAAAAAGTAGATCTTCCTGGATGGATTCCTTGAAAGTGCCACAACGTGGCATCTGTGATAGAACCTATGCAGCATATTAATTTCTTTACATGAACGTTTGAAATCATTTTGACATGGTTTCCCTTGTACCAAAGGCTTAGGGTAATTCTGATATCTATGTCATCATAAATGTCAGCTTCTTATGTTTAATGACGCTTGAACATTGTATTGCTAAAAGTTTAATCAAAAGGTTTTCAAAATAAAATTTTCATGTTGAGCTTTCCATAGAGACCTTCCCACCAACAGATATATAAACACTTGCAAACTTACTTTTCATTATTTAATCGCCAAATAATTGTTATAAAATTGAATTGTTTCTTTTTTAATTTTGGATTTTCTTTTTCTCTCCTTCTATTCATTCTAGAAGACATGTGAGTCTGTCCTTCCTGTTTCTAAGCAGCAAAATGTGAAAACAAAAACAAGCAAGTAAACAACAGGATTTCAGAATGTCCCATGCATAGTTGAATGCTCTGTTGCTTTTGTATGTTTCAGACCAGCTTTAGCTTCTTGGGAGAAGCAATGCACATTGAATGTCTGATGACTTTTCAAGAACCGCCGGCCTGCAGTGGGGACTGAGGGTGTTCTTTATAGTTCCTTGATTGGTTTGTTCTGAGTTAAATAGTTCCAACACCAACACTTCGAATCTCTGTATAAAGACCACTGGAGAGGCTTGAGGTCACACTAACAAAGGTTCATAGAAAAGGAAATTTTCCGTTGTTATATTTACTCAGGAAGCCTTTGAGGACTTGTGGTCCTGGAATCAAATCAAAGGTCCATAGTAAGCACAGTTGGCAACTTTAGTTTTGTGTTGAAACCATCAATGGCATTTTTAAGCAACTAGATGACTTTCACCACAGCCCAGCAAAGGTCTGGGATGATTATTCTGTCTTTGGACCTGTTAATTTGTATTTGCAATCTACTCTCCCACTGCTCCATATTGCAGCAATGAACATTCTGTTCATACGAAACAATGCAGCTATAGTATTCATGTGTCTGAATGGCCAAACTAAGAAGACTATGAGAACCTTGGCCTCATCACATCTGTGTTTGGAGGAAGGAGAGTAAACATGAAGGAACACAAGTATTCAAGCAGCATTCCCTGGGGCTTCACAGCTATGAGCATGGGATGTACCTGAGGCAGAACGGACTGTGATCATCCAGCTAAAGCCATACCTGTGTGGTGGCAGTGGAAGTTGTGCTGCCCCGAGTCCCCCACATTTGTTGAAATTGTACTCTGATTTCTGCAAACGTCTCAATGATGACAGCAATAAACACATTCTGCAAGGAAATGACAAACACTGGCGATGAAGTAGCCTGTTGATCAATAAAACTAAAATGAAAAAAAAGACCCGCCAAGAATCACAAAATATGTGATCTCTGAACACAGTCTTTCCAGTACCTTTACAAGCCAGGCAAGGAAGAAAATCAGTGTGATGAAGTAGAAGTAGGAGCGCCAGCGTGGAAAACTGTCGATTGCTCTGTACATGAGGAATACCCAGCCTTCTTGAGATGAAGCCTCATAGACTGTGAATATACTCGTGCCTGTGAGGACAGGACAACAGATGGAACCACCACTGGCTTTTCAGACAACCAATAGTTATTCATGCTCATTGTCTCTATAGCAGAAGTTCCTCTAAGAGGAATTAAGTTTATGTGTAGCATTTTGTATTCTTATGATTTGGTAAAGTTGTATCTGACTGCAAGCCATGGTGATTTTAGTATCACTAACAACAGCAGGGTTTTGTGTCTTTACATGTTTAAGGCATTTAGTACATGGGAAATGAAACAAATGTTAAAATGGGTAGAGGATACTTTGAAAATTGTGTGGCATGGAACCTCAGTGCTTGAGGCTTGGTACTTTACAGATGTTAGAAACACCTGTCATACCTTTAATAAGAATGAAATGAGAAGGCACTTTCTCCTGGGGACTTAACTACCTTGGTTTCCAGTGATTATTGGTGGAACTCGCCTCAAGACTCATGATGCAGGACTATAAATTATCCTATAGCACCTTGCAGAATTAGGAGCTAGCATATCTCTGAACATACTTCTGGTAATGACAATGAAGTGTATAATACCTGGTTAGCTATAGAACACCTGGTTTAAGAGAACATGGGATATGTTTTATTCTGTAAATACAATGAGATGCTTTACAGAGACTAAAGCATGTCTATTCAAGCAGTCATATTCAAGGATTCATAATGATAGTTTGGAGAAATGGTATTGACCCATCTCTCTGGAACAAGTTTCTGGATGTCTAACTGACAGCATCATTCCTTTTAACTCAATGACCACTGTGTGCACCATTTCTTTTCCTGTGGGGATTAACTGGCAATTTCTGTAAAGCCTTGATAATGGAGTATGATGAGTTCTAAAGACACTTTAGGCACTACCACCATCAACACAGACTAGAAACATCCTGTTCAATAATAACACTTTGTGAGAAAACATAAAGTCTGCGGTGTACTTAAAGTTGTCTGTAAAATGAGTATGATGTGTATCCTCATAAGACTGATCGGTAAACGACTCCTAAGTTCAACCTTCATGAAGGACTTAAATTATTGTGGAATATAATCGCTAGTCACCAGTGAACATTCTATTTATAAGAAACAATGCAGTTATGGTATTCATGTGTCTGAGTGGCTAAACTAAAAAGTCTGTAAGAATCTTGGACTCATCATGTCTATGTATGGAGGAAGAAGGATGAACATGAAGGAACACAGTGTTCAGAAGAAATGCAGGGATATCAGGTGGAAAGTCACTGCAAATGTAGACTGTGAGAAATAGAAGCATGAAAGAAAACCAGAGAGAAGGGAAGAGGAGTCCTACCTGGTGAAATTTCACTACAAATCACTTTATGTATAATATTATTTGTGCAGAATGTCACTTGCTTTATGTACTACCTCTATTTTTAAGTGCAGTTTTTAGATTTATTTTGACAGATATTTAATTGCCTTGCATAAAATGGCACTGCATTTTAATATACATTTATAACATAACAATAAAGTGAGGGCAATTCTCATTCAGATGAGCTTTCTTTTAGCTGTTTAAGATAGAAAATTAATTGTTGGCTGGCATATATGGGTGGTAGAGGCAGAAACCTGATGAGTTCCATGTCTGGAACCAATGTAAAGAAGGCTCATATAGAGGTGGGCCTCTGTAATTCCAGAATGCTTGTGAGATGGAAGGAGAGGCAGAATTTCCCTGAAGCTGGAGGACCAGCTAGCCTGAAACACACAGTTTAGTGACAGAAACAAGAAAGTTACTGTCTCAAAGCAAGGGAGATGGAGAAAACTGTCTCCCAAAAGTTGTCCTTTGTTCTCCATGTTTGTGCTGTGGTGTGTATTAACACACACACACACACACACACACACACACACACACACACACACACA